GGGGCAGGACAGCCAGTGGTTGTTTTGGATAGGTTGCTGAGCAGTGGTGGTGGTGGGGGCGGTGTCTGGGTGGATAGGGTGATTGCTTTCTTTGGGGGGAACATGAAACTTAACAGCCCAAGAGCTTGGGTAAGGTGCAACTTAGTCCTCAAAGCAGTACCTCTGCTCTTTAGCATTTTAAAGAGGTCTTTTGCAGCAAGTTTGCCCAGTGCAATACATGACTCAACTTCTTGACTGCTGCTTCCATTAGCAGCTGTCAGTTCATCGTACTGTGGGGGTTTGTGGAACCAACAACTTCCATGAGCATTGATTGTGTATCTAAGTCAAATGAACTACTTGACAACCTCACTCTTTTCTGTTTATCATGATGTTATTTATTGGTCCAGTTGTGAGGATTTTTGTTTTCTTTATGTTGAGTTGTAATCCTTACTGAAGGCTATATTCTTTGATCTTCATCAGCAAATGTTTCAAGTCCTCTTACCTTCCAGCAAGCAAGGTTGTGTCATCTGCATATCTCAGTTTGTTAATGAGTCTTCCTCTGGTCCTGATGCCATGGTCCTCATATAGTACAACTTCTCTTTGATTATTTGCTTAGCATGCAGATTAATAAGTATGGTGAAAGAATACAACCCTGATACATTGCTTTCCTGATTTTAAACCACTCAGTATCCCCTAGTTCTGTTCCAATGACTGCCTCTTGGTCCATGTACAGGTTCCTCATATGCACAATTGTAGAATTCCCGTTCTTTGCAATGTTACCCATAGTTTGTTATGATCCACACAGTTGAATTCCTTTGCTTAGTCAATAAAATCCAAGTAAACGTCCTTCTAATAACTTCTGCTTTCAGCCAAGATCCATCTGGTATCAGCAATGATGTCCCTCATTTCACATCCTCGCCTGAATCTGCCTTGAATTTCTGGTAGCACCCTGTTCTGTTCATCAGTTTTTAAATTATCTTCAGGAAATTTTTACTAGTGTATGACATTAATGATAATGTTTGATAGATTCCGCATTTTGTTGGCACAAATAAACAGATCTCTTCCAATCAGATGGCCAAGTAACTGTCTTCCAAATTTCTGGGAATAGATTATAGTGCTTCCAGCATTGCATCAATTTCTTGAAATATTTCAGCTGGTATTCCATCAGTTTCTAGAACCTTGGTTTTTGTTAATGCCTTCAGCATAGCGTGGACTTCTTCTTTCTTCAATACCATGGGTTGGTGATCGAATGCTACCTCTTGAAGTGGTTGAACATGGACCTTTTTTTTTTTTTTTTGTACAGTGACTCTGTATATTCCTTTCATCTTCCTTTGATGCTTCCTGAATCTTTAAATATTTTGTCCATAGATTCCTTCACTATTGCAAATCAAAGCCTGGATTTTTTTTTCAGTTCTTTGATCTTGAGAAAGGATAAGTGTGTTCTTTCCTTTTAGTTTTCTGACTTCAGGTCTTTGCACATTTCATAATAATTCTTGACTTTATCTTCTCAAGCTGCCCTTTGAAATGTCCTATTTAGCACTTCATTTCTTCCGGTTGCTTTAACTACTGGGAAGAGCAAGTTTCAGAATCTCTTTTTACATTACTTGGTTCATTTCTCTATTTCTTGTCTTTTCAAGGAACTTTTGCTTTCTTCCCGTATGATGTTCCTAATGCCATCCCACAACTACTGTGGTCTTCAGTCATTAGTGTCCAACACATTAAATCAGTTCCTGAGATGGTGTCTACATTCAGGTGAGATACTCTCAAGATCGTGTTTTGATTCCTGTAGACTTGTTTCAATTTGCTTCCGCTTCAGCCTGAACTTGAATATGAGCAATTGACAGTCTGTACCACAGTCTGCCCCTAGCCTTGTTTCCCTTAACTTTTTTTTTTTTTTAATTGTGAATTGAGTGAAGGTTCACAGACCAGCTCATCAACTTTACATTCAACAAATTATGCACTTTGTTTCATCTCAATGATTACAATCCCCTTCATGCAACAACAGTTATCCCTGATTTCTCTCTCTGATTCCTGTTTGCA